GTTGGTATGATTGTGAAAACCTCTCCATTCACCAAGAAGACGTGAGAGATTTTGTCCATTATACGGACAGTTGGTATGATTGTGAAAACCTCTCCATTCACCAAGAAGACGTGAGAGATTTTGTCCATTATACGGACAGTTGGTATGATTGTGAAAACCTCTCCATTCCCCAAGAAGACGGGAAAGATATTGTTCATTATACGGACAGTTGTATGATTGTGAAAACCTCTCCATTCCCCAGGAAGAACGACTAACCGCTTTCGGTGTTATTAATAATACGAAGAGTTTAAATAGACAACGCTCTTATGCACCCTCTGGTTACATTCTGAGGATCACATTTTATTAGGTTTGACCATTAGGATCGCCACATTATATCAGGTTTGACCATTGGAATCGCCACATTATATCAGGTTTGACCATTATGATCGCCATATTATATCAGGTTTGACCATTATGATCGCCATATTATATCAGGTAATATAATCCCGGTTCGCAACAATTTATCAGATTTGATCATTACGATCATTATATTAGATCAGATAATACCGTCAAGGTCCCAACAATTTATCAGATTTGATCATTACGATCACTATATTATATCAGGTTAGACCATCAGGGTCGCAACAATTTATCAGATTTGATCATTACGATCATTATATTAGATCAGATAATACCGTCAAGGTCCCAACAATTTATCAGATTTGATCATTACAATCACTATATTATATCAGGTTAGACCATCAGGGTCGCAACAATTTATCAGATTTGATCATTACGATCACTATATTATATCAGGTTAGACCAACTTTCGTTTCATAACAATCTGGATTCGGCGTAGCAAAGATTCCACAGAATGCCAGAAAGTGCTTTTCTATATTGTGGTCCGTTCATCAAAAAGAACGGATTAAATTGGATTCACATGTGTTTGCACAGTTTTATGATAGCGAATACAAAAATTAAGCCCATTCCAAAAGTGTTCAGCCGTCATAGTTTTACCAACTGTCCGTATAATGAACAACATCTTTCACGTCTTCTTGGGGAATGGAGAGGTTTTCACAATCATACCAAGTGTATGTAGAATGAACAACATCTTTCACGTCTTCCTGGGGAATGGAGAGGTTTTCACAATCATACCAACTGTCCGTATAATGAACAAAATCTTTCACGTCTTCCTGGGGAATGGAGAGGTTTTCACAATCATACCAAGTGTCTGTATAATGAACAACATCTTTCACCGTGCATATCAAGTGTAGCTTAACAATGATATTAAATTTGGAATGTTTTGTTTTCAATATCAGTTTTAGTATCTTATTACACGATCTGTGGGGTTGATTAGGGTAAGAAATACTTCTTTGTTAAATGATTTTAAAGGACTCGTTACCCAAAGTTGATTGATTGGGGTAAGAAATACTGCTTATATCAACAATTTTAAACTACTCGTTACTCAAAGTTGATTGATTAGGGTAAGGCAAACAACGTAATCACTAGTCTGCAGCTCACAATTACAACATGCAAACAACGTAATCAAGTGAATAATCTACAGTTCACAATTACAACATGTAAACAACGTAATCACTAGTCTACAGCTCACAATTACAACATGCAAACAACGTACTCACTAGTCTACAGTTCACAATTACAACATGCAAACAACGTAATCACTAGTCTACAGCTCACAATTACAACATGCAAACAACGTACTCACTAGTCTACAGTTCACAATTACAACATGCAAACAACGTAATCAAGTGAATAATCTACAGTTCACAATTACAACATGCAAACAACGTAATCAAGTGAATAGTCTACAGTTCACAATTATAGCCTGCAAGCAACGTAATCAAGTGAATAGTCTACAGTTCACAATTATAGCCTGCAAACAACGTAATCAAGTGAATAGTCTACAGTTCACAATTACAGCATGCAAACAACGTAATCATTAGTCTACAGTTCACAATCACAAAGAGTAAATTTTACAAATGAAAAAATATTACTTCAGAGTATTTTTTTTCAAAAATATCATTACATGTGACAAGTTCGTAGAATGAAACGATTAATCTAATAGGTTATAATACTCATAGGAAGAAAAGGATGATTCATTTTTATAAACAGCACAAATGAAATGATTACTTTGTCTGGTATTAAAACCAAATGGTAAGAAATGATATATATATATATATAGCCGAAAATCTCATATGAATTTATGTATAAATTTTACAATTATATATATATATATGTGTCGCTTCTAAAACAAACGGTAGGTAGATGAAACATTTAATCTCCTCAAAACATTAAATTTCATAAGGTTATTAACGGTTTAGCCGTTTAATAGTGTTTGGCGAAACGCAGCCGGTGAAGGTTTTGGTTTTAATTATTAAACGTATGGTGGATTATGTAATAATTGAGATAAATCAGAATATACGACAAATTTGTTACTTATTTTACATAAGATGTACGTGGATGGCAGGAAAGAATGGAAATAAGTGCTACAAACTCATAAGTGGTGTTTTGCTGATTATGGAAGAAACCTGGTATACATGGACACTGGGAAAGTGTGAAATAGGAAAACATTATATTAAGAAGTTAACAGCTGTGTTAAGGAACAACTAAGATCACAAAAGACTTGACTAGCTAAGCTTCTACGTTGACAAATACAATTGAAAATTATGGTCACATAATCAGTTTTGTTCTCACATAAAACAACCAATTAAGTTAATATTAAGATTAAAAATATTTATTGGCATTTCCATTGTATCTAACGTACGAGATTAGAGAAAAGAGGGCATTTTATTAATAGCAAAGCCTGTATAAGGTTTGAGAACTAAGAGGAGCTTAGTTCACATAAAATTAAGTATTACACAATGCCATAAAGCATAAATCTGTGTGCGTGTCTGTAAAGCAAACTGCCACGAAGAAGCTTTTCGTATAGATAAAAATGGACATATTTGTTTATTTCAAATACTAGTCAAAAACAAATAGATGTTAAAAGTCACTTTATAATGATTTCTTTTCTTTGACGTTTCAGACCTGATTAAAGGCTTAAGCCTGAAATATCGTAAAACATAAGATAATTTCGAAACAAATTTCTCCCCTGTTCTGATTTTTCACCATTAATATTTCTTTTATATAACTATCTAGGCTATTTGTACAGATAATA